CCCACTTTCAAGTTTGCAAAAAATCCGTGAAAATCCACACTCTAGACACCACAAAAAAATCTATTCCATATATCAAAAATTCAACAAACGAAGTTTTAGTATTACATCTTCTCTTCATTCTGTGAAAATTTCGTGAAGATTGGGTTTTAAATGGTAGAGTTATTCAAAAAAGTGTAGAGGAAAGTCGTGTTTCGAGAAAACAGCCGATAAAGAAAAATAAAATATTGGCTTTATGAGAAAATGGTGGCAATAAACATGCCCAGCATGGGGAAAAATACGGGTTTTGTGGGTTTTTATGCGATGAAATAGTTGTAGGTGAGGCTGAGGAAGCTAAAAATACCTACAATTCAAATTCCCTAATTTTGAGCTGAATCTTGACTTTGGGGGTGTAGCCCCCCAATCAAGAATGGATACACTATTAGGCCTACTTCTTTGCTTTGCGGGCTTGGATCATTGCTAGGCCTACTCTTGGTCGATGGGAGTAACCATTATTATGCTTTTCCTGTCAAGTGCTAATTGATTCTAAGTATCCGTACATTTTGAGTCGCCTTTGATCCGTGAAGTGTTCATAATTTCTATTGTGTCTTCCACATTTGTATGTGAGTGTGTGCGTGCATGCGTGCGTGCGTCTCTGTTTTTATGTATGTGTGCACGTGCGTCTGTGCGTATTTGTGTGTGCGCGCAAGTGTATGTGTGTGCGTGCGTGCGTGTCTTGTCTGTGTGTACGTGTGTGTGTGTGTGTGTGTGTGTGTGTGTGTGTGTGTGTGTGTGTGTGTGGTGTGTGTGTGTGTGTGTTGTGTGTGTGTCTGTTTTATTTATTCTCTTGTTACGCTGTTCGAAAATTTAAAAGACTGAATCGCAATGCGACAGCACTGTGTAGGTGTTTTTATCCAACCAAGGATTCGCCGTATATAATTATCTCGTCTCCGGCGAGCACCCGGGAACTATTCGGAGACGCAATCCCGCATACAGATACACTGCTTTGGGGAGGGAGAGGGGGTCAAACTGCGTATCGCTTGCTGCAGAACACTCATAAAGCCACTAAAACTGTCGCAAATCAATTATTTTCAAGAAAATTTCAAACCTAACTGCAAAATATCAAATTGTGGGTTAAAACGGGGG